TATTTGACATACAATGTTTTCAATAGATTTAAATTGACCACTTTTTTTCAATTCTAATGCCTCCACTTTTCTAGCTAAAGATGCAAACTTAGCTTGGAGGTCATGATCTTCCCTAAGATTGTACATACCTCTACTAGATGTATGAGGTTGAGTTTTACTCGGTGCCTCTTAAGTACCCGCGGTGTCCCAATTTTGAGCATTTTCAGCTAACAAGTCTAAGTACTCCATTGCTTCATTAGGGTCTTTATCTTTAAAAGTTCCATTGCACATTAATTCAACCATTTGCCTATCTCTAGGTGTTAACCCTTCATAAAAATGTGAAACCAATCTCCATGTTTCAAAACCATGATGAGGGCAAGTACTCAGCAAGTCTCGATACCTATCCCAACATTGGTAAAATGTTTCTCCTGGTTTTTGAGTGAAAGTGATGATTTGTCTTTTGAAAGAGTTTGTTCTATGAGATGGGAAAAACTTCTTCAAAAATTGTTGTTGCATTTCATCCCAAGCACGAATGGATCCTGGTCTTAAATTTTGTAGCCATGTTTTAGCTTTATCTTTTAATGAAAAAGGAAAAAGCTTTAATCTGATGGTGTTCATGCTACAATTTAAATTATTATATGTGTTGCAGACCTCCTCAAATTCCCTTCAATGCAAGTATGAATTTTCCAATTCTAAGCCATGAAAAGAAGGTAAAAGTTGAATAATGCCTGGTTTAAAATTAAAATGAGATGCATTGGGAGGAAAAACTATGCATGATGGTGCACTTGTTCTTGTGGGATTCATGTGGTCTCTAAGTGTTCTAGCACGGTTATTCTCATTATTCTTATTATGAAGTGATTGATTATCTTCTTTGGCCATATTTTCTGAAAATAATGAGGATACCCTACAAAGTCTACCACTTGATGTACGTGACCACACTCTTATGCACGTGTAAGAATAGAATAAAAGAAAGAAGAAAAGAAAAGAAGAAGGAAGAAAACAAAATAAAGACAAACAAAACAAAAGAAACAAAATTATATACAAGAAAAGTGAAAAGAAAAAATAAAATAAATACTATAATTTGTACAAGAACTTACCTCCCCGGCAACGGCGTCAAAAACTTTACACGACTAAAAGATTGATGTCTTCTCCCAAGTGCTGGAGTGTCGAAGTAATAAATAACCTGGCAAGATCGGGGTCGAACCACAGGGAGGTTAATTGTACAAATTATAAACAACAATAATAATAACAACAACAACAATAATAATAGTAATAACAATAATAACAATAACAATAATAACAATAATAATAATAATAATAATAATAATAATAATAATAGTAGTAGTAGTAGTAGTAGTAGTAGTAGTAGTAGTAGTAGTAGTAATAATAATAAAGAAAAAGAAGGAGAAGAAGAAGAGAACTTCGAGATGGAATATTAATGTAACGATTAAACAATGATAATAACAAATATCAAGGTTAGAGGATCCACTAATGGTATGTCAAACAAGTATAGTATAAACTCTTATTATTCAATTGGAAACCACACACAAAGGAGGTTCCAATCAGATTATAGATTGTTAACATGATTACATTAGTCATCTTATTCGATTAATGCTAATACTTGTAAATCTCGTCAAGCATTCATGATTATAACTTATGTTAACAACAAATCAAGTTCCTTTCATAGCTCAGGTGTCGGTTATACCATACAGTATGGGCTATGAAAGTGTAGCCCATACTATATGGTATATAGGTGTCGGTTATACCATACTTATGTTAGCAACACTGTTCCGGTTTGGATTGCAGCGACATCTCTTTTCTAATTTTGGTCATCTCTTTGCCCTTGCAATTTAAGTTCTTAAAGTCATCAATCAATCCTTTCATTTATATGATAGACTTGCATTTAAAATGAACATTTACCATAAATTAAAGGTATCTTATATTATTAGATATATTATTATAAAACATGCTTTAGTTAAGAAGTTATTGATGCTTCAAGTGCAAAATGATGATATAAAACCATGATAAAAATGCACTTTTAAGTACTAATCATAAAACCTTGATAAAATTACACTTTTAAATACCAATCAATATTGTTGTTCATATTTATGTGTGAATTGTTGGAATTTGATATATTATGACCGGAGAAAAATATAAAGTTTTGAGGGGAATTAATTTGGAACAAGTACAACTTATTGTATTGCAATGATCTCATGAAAAGATTTGAAAAAAAAAGGATAGGAATTTATGATAAAATAGATGCCCTTATGCAAATAACACAAAATGAATAATTTTTAACCTTAATAAAGACAAGTTTAGAGGGTATGACAAAATGATGTCATAGCGGCTGAATTGAAGTTAAACAGGGATGATAAGACTAACGAAAAGGGTAAATCAAGAAGACATAACCACCCTTTTAATGGAATTAAACTTAACATTCCATCATTAAAATTAAAATGTAACAGCTCACTTGAGGAGTACTTAGAGTAAGTTCAAAAAGTTAAGAATGTGTTTGATTGGTATGACTATACTAACAAAAAGAAATGTAAGGTGTTTATATTGGAGTTTATCATTTATGCATTGTTACGGTGGAAGAACTTGAAAATCCACAAGAGAAGGGATAACGAAAAGGATATTACCATTTAGATGAAGATGAAAAATGTGATGAAAAAAACATTTGTACCTAATTACTACAAACAAGAGTTATATATAAGACTCTAAATATTACAACAAGGTTTTTTAAGTACGGAGGAGTGTTTGATGGAGTTTGAGCTAATGATATGTGTGAATTGATAGAACCTAAAAACTAGAACATAGTTAAGATTATTTTCAGATTAAGGAAGGATAATGCTAATATTGTTGAGTTGAAACCATATATCTTTCTTGAGGAAGCGATAAAACCTAGGATGGTAGATAAACAACAAAAAAAAAAACTAAAAATAATTAGAATAATTTATAGCAATCAAGAAGACAAATCTAGAAGAAAACATTATTAATGATATTGTAAAAGTAATATTATTTTTTCTTTAAACATAACTAATATTGTAAAAGTAATATTGTTTTTCTCTTGATCATAACTATCTTTTATATTTTCTTTAGTTATTAGGTGATAGATTTAATTTTTCACTGTGTATTTTTTATCCACCATCATAATATCCATTGAAGAGCGATAACAATAGTCAACACAGATCCAGGTCTTGCCATTTTTCATGTCGACTGCAACCATGTCAGAGACCTAGTGAGGCGCTCCACATCTTTGAGGAATCCAACATGCTAGTGGTTTGCCACTCTCTCTTTAATTTTGAGCAAAACATCAGGCTTCATCCATCTAAGCCTTTTTTTTAGTGGTTTGCCCCCAAGATTCAACGACAACATGTGGACCTGAATATTTGAAGACTTGAACATGTTCTATTGAGCCATAAAATTTCGCTAACCCAAACTTTGGTTAACTTGATATATGCCACTACGATGTACAAGTTAGTAATTAATTTGTTTTAGACAAGATGATCTTGAAGTCGTTTTACTTGGGTCACAACTCTTCAAATTGTGAACTACATTTTCTGGCCAAATAATTCTCAAGCGCAGCCTGCTAAGCATACTTTACTCTTTGCCCATGGAATGTGTGACGTGTATTAAGCCGTAGCCCATAAGTAAGTAGGTGGAGGCTCACTATTTCGAGCACTGCCCACCTAGTAGTAGTTAGACTAATAAACATGGGCAGACATAGAAAGCAAAGCTTCAGATTAAAGAAGGGCTAATGCCTCCTCTATGCCTAAAAAAAATTACCAGAAAGAAAATAAGTATGAGGGACGTTTTATATTTGTTTTTTAATAATTATGAGTTGAAGTTTTTTTTAAGTTTATTAAAGTTTATATAATTATTAATTTCAGGATTTACAAGATTAATTATAATGCACATGAACTCATTTGAACATTTATATTAATTAAAAAAATAAAAATCACCAAAAAACAATTGAAAAAGAAAAAGGAAATTCTTTTTCACAAGTTTGCAGATATTTCCACATGCTTTTTGTAGCCGTATTACTTGTTAGGTTGCTACTGTGAACTTCACATAGAAGGTTGTGCCAACAACCCCCTTCTTCCTTCAGCTTTACGTATATGCGTGTTGGCACGTGTTTGGTTTAGATGTTCACTGTAATATGCACGGAAAATAATTTATATATATTGAAATTAATGAAATGATAAAAGCTTCCCAGTTATTGCTCGCAAAATCTTGTTTACAAAACCTTGGCTTCAGCATTTGGTGGAGCTTTGAGCTGACGCCATTGTAACCTTAGCCCCATGTGAGGCGTAAGAGAAATCCCCTTTTCTTCGTTTTCTTCTAATTTTATCTCATCACTTGCCTAATGTTTTTCTTACATCACTTGCCAAAGGTTCGCAAGTGAGTTTTTAAGATGAACATTCGTATCTAGTTTCAAGATCAAGACCAAAAGAGAAGAATAAAAGAAGATAGGCTTCAATATACTGATCTGAAAGCAAGTAATTACAATTCATCGAATACAACACCTTTTCTCTCTGTAAAGGAAATTGTAGAATAGTTATAGGAGGAAGAAAAAATGGAAGAGCAGTT